CTCTGTACATGTTTTTTTTTTTTTCCTCATCTTTAAATTGGGTACAATAATAAATAATAATATATACATAATAGAAACAGTGTAAAATGTAGTTGACATAGTAGAGCATCTGGCTCCTAGTTGTTTCTCAATAAGTATTTGCTATTGACATTTTCATTAATGGCCATTTTAGAGATTGAACAGAATAGAAAATTAAATGTAGGAGGTTAAAGAAAGACTATATATGGAAAGGGATCAAGAGAATAAAAGTTGTAAGGCAATAATAGTTTTCTGAATATCCCTAGTTTTTTTCAAACATCACAAAGCCTAAAATAGGATTCTCCCTGAGGGTTCAACAGCCCATAAGCTCTTGCAGTAAACCTTCTTTAGAGAGTAATCGAATCAGGAGTGCATCAGTTGAAGCAACTGAACTCATCATACTATTTGTCAAAACTTGGAATGGCATCAGAACTCTAGGGAGACATAACAGGGGTAAGTGTGGAGTTTTCTCTGTAAGCTTCAGATTTACTTTTGCCAAGTTGAGAGTGGAAGTTTGGCTGTTACATGGAGTTCTCAATCTCTCATCAATTTGTGTGGATCTGCTTAACCTTTAAAGCTTTGTAGTGGTTCGTCTTAAGTCTTCCAGGTTTTGAGTCTTTCAAATGGTACCGTAACTAAAAAGAGGGAAACATGAAGCAGTATGAAGCTGCTCTATTAGGGATAATTGATAATCATCATTGTTATCAGTACAGTGTCCAATATAGTATGCAGAATAACTAGTTAAGTAAAAATACAGTATGCGCAACAGAGGAAAATAAAGGTCTCTGACCAGATCAGTATAAACATATGTGGAATAATTGAGGTGCCAAAGAACTTTCAGACTTTAGATATACATTTTGCCCTAGAGAAAAGCTCTCCCAGGCTAGACTTCTCGGTTGGCCCTGTTTCCCTTTGGCCTCCTTAGTGAAAGCCTGCTCTATATGGCCAGGCTCTTCGTCTGCAAAAGTCGACAACCTGTTCTGTAATTCAAAACAGCTGTGTTCTGCCTTTCCCAAATTCCAGGCTTTGCCCTTTCACTGATTTCAATTAGATAGTTTCTGGACTATCACACCCATGTGGGCTGAACTGCAATAGTGTGGAGCAAAACTGCATGGCCCAGGTCAAGAATGAAAGTTCCTAGCTGATGACATACTCTCCCCTGCTAATGCATTTGTAATCAAATTCAACTTGAGGATATCATACACAGCTTGGCAGGTATGTGCCTAACCACTGTAGATTTCATTCACAGACACGGCAGTTTGGATTTTTCTGATTTCTAGCACTTATGGCCAACCTGTTCTCCCCAGGAAAGACTCCTGGAATTCTGCCATGAGATGAAAAATACCCATATAACCAAAACCAAGTTCTACGCACCTCCTCACCACCTTAGCAAAGATGGAAAACAGAGATTTCAGATGAAAATGATGCAACCATTGCTATTGACAGAGTTCCAAGAGAACCATCAAGGAGTACAGGAATGAAGTTATTTTTGTAAGGAATGGTACAAAAGCTAGGAAAAGCAATGACAGAATTATGCAGCAAAGAATCTAAATACTTTGACTAAGTCTTCTATTTAAAACAAATTCATCTTTATAAATTCAACAAGATATACCTCCAATCAATTTCCTAATTTTCAATGCCACTTTCTGGTCATGAAGATCCACTATAAAGAAAAAAAAAAAAAAACCACTGAATCTTAATGTACTGAATTCAAACCAAAAACTATGTCCATTACACATATTTTATTGGTTGCTGTCAAGTTGATTCTGACTCATGGTGACCCTGTGTATCACAAGTAGCACTGCTCCATAGGGTTTTCTTGACTATCATCTTTATAGAAGCAGGTTCCAAATGCTTTCTTCCATATCACCACTGGGTGGGTTTAAACCTTCAAGTTTTAGGTTAGTAGACAAGCACAGACTGTGCCACCCAGAGACCTTAATATGCTGGATTACCTAAGCAGAAAATTACTTAAACTGATGTTGAAATCATGTTTCACCCTCTTTAAAAAGAAACTGGTGAGGGAAATAGCACAGGTTTGCTTTGTGATTGACGTATTTGTTAAGTTATGTAAAGAGAATTATAAGCAATGGGATTTGAACGATATATAAAAAAATCAATATGGACTGACAATATGCTTCAAACCAGCAAATTACTGCATGGATCTTTTGTGCATGACAATTATTTCTGATAATGTCAGATTGATCAGAGGATTCCACAGTGAGGGGGCAGGGGAGGAAAGGAGGGAGGAAAAAAACAAGAGAAAATCCCTGGAAAACTGAGAGGTCCATAAGACACACCACCCTAGAATCAAGGGCTTGTGTCTAAATTCCATTCAGCCTACCAGAGACTACTCATAGTTTCTGAATCTACTTTTGTGAGTTAGAGCTTATAAAAGGGGGGGGGGCAGGAATTTTCCTAGGAAACACCATGAATATTTTCCATATCTACACTGGGTCATTTGAACAGAACCTTTTATTTTTGTCATAGGAAATCATTTCCACAGAAATAGGTAATATGGAGGGTATGCTATTTCTTATAAGTATTTCATTATGCTACAAGTGTTCATTCAGTGCCTCGAGTATTCACATTTCTAGGCACTGGGAAACTGCAATGTATGGAACTTGTGCTTTCATCTAGTTAAACAGATCCACTTTGTATAAAATTTAATATTCCAGGAGTCATTAAAATGTTAGCAATAGCAGGAAATGTTATAAAATCTATAATCTTAAAAAAAGGTTTTGGATTTTATGCTAAGCTGTTTGGATTAGCAAATCTTAAGAATAACTAAACAGAGAAACGTGGATGACCACAAAAGTTTTCTTTAGAAAATAACTATAATGATAAAACAACCAAACAAAAAAAAAGCAGTGAAACAGTTGTCATTGAGTCAATTCCAATCCACGCTGATCCCATGTGTTTTAGAGAACTCCAGTCCATAGCATGTTTATGGCTGTGATTTTTTGGAAGCAGATCACCAGGCTTTTCTACTAAGGTGCCTCTGGGTTCGAACTCCCAATCTTTTGGTCAGTGGCCCAGTGTCGAACTTTTTGTGCCACTCTGATAAAATAACAAACTGAGGCTTTTAGGCTGTATTGTACAATGCTGATTATTTGCGCCCATTACACGTTGTATTGGTAATATAAGACACATAAGGAGCTCTGGTAGCACAGTGACTAAGACATCGGACAGCGAGCTAACCAGAAGGTTGGCAGTTCAAACTCACCAGCCACTCTGTGGAAGCAAGACTGGATGATCTACTTCTGTAAAGATTTACTGCCTCGGAAACACAATGGGGGTCACTGTTAGGATCAACTCGATGGCAGTGGGTTTGTTTTTTTGATTTTTATAGGACACATAGTATGTAAAATAAATATCATAGACTTCCTTTCCAGGAGGAAAAAATGCTCTGCTTTATAAACTTAATTAATTGAAAGTTAACTATTCTTTTTAACATATGAATTCTCCTGAAAGTAAGTAAAAACAGTTGTCAGTCATTAAAACTAGTTTTCGATGATTTACGCCTATTAAGAATGAAGGTATGGACTTAGGTATAGATAAATTGTTTTCACTAAAATTGAAAGATATGGTGATAGAAATCAGATTTGCATCATCCGCTCCCCCCCCTTTTTTTTTTGCCATGAAGAATGTCACATTTTTACAGTATGCCAGCTTCTATATTCTTTTATTCTGCCTTGGCTTATATGGACACTTAACCTTTTAACTTTTTCCAGTTTCCCATACTAAGATGTTAGGAGTATAAAATTAAAATACCAATTCATTGGGGCAGGGGTGCCTCTGAGCCATGACAAACACGGCTCAGAATCCTGAAAGTGAAAAGCCAGGGTTTTGGCCTAAATCCCACTACTGAATACATATGTGCTCTCAGGCAAGTTACCAAATTTCTGTTTCCCAAAGTGACCTAAACAAAACTGATTTTACCTGCCTGAAAAATACATTGCCAAGAAAAGTGATATTGAAATGTGTGGCATTTCTCATAAAAAAAACAAAACTTTTTTTTTTTTTTTTTATCACTTTGGTAGTATCTGAACATTCTGCGCTTACAATTCTTTTAGGTAGCGTGGAGCTATATAGGGCTCTTTAAATAAAACCATATGTTTCAGATGGATGTTAATGGTCCCATTTGGCATTTTCTCAGGGAAGAAAGATTTTACCCAGGCTTCTTTGGCCAAACTTCTGACATCCATGGGATAACCTTGGGCCCCTAGGCTATTCCCAGGAGACTTGACCCACTCTTGTTAGATAAAAGTCTACCAAGTTTAGTTCTGAACACATGGAGCAACAGTGACCCCCAGTGGTCAATGGTGTGGTCTTCTTAACTCCAGTTTGGACACCTTGAGTAATTACATAGTGAAATAATCACTGTCCAATTCATACCTTGGCAATTACTAAACAAATCAATGCCCCTCTGACCTGATTGGTTTTTTAACAACAAAATATAAACATTTCTATACAACAGTGCTTTAATATCTCCATTAATAGAGTGCTTCATGATTTGTGTAGGGACAAGAACAAATCCTTTTCCACTATGTTCTGATATTGAAAATATCCTAGAACATATTTGTCCCCCTGATTAGTTCTGAGTACAATAATTCTTTGTAATTAAATTATTTATTGGAGACTTGAGTTCAATCCTTTACTCTGCCACTTAGCAATGATTTGACTTTAGACATATCATTTAAGATTTTTGACTCTGTTTCCTTATCTGTAGAATGTAATTTTGTCATAAGGATTTGAGATACAATGTGTGACATGCCTGATGTGTAGCTGGCACTTAACAAATAATAACTATTTTGGTGGTGGCAGGTAGAAGATTGGTCTGAATGTGGAACAGATGCAATCACAACTATTATATATTTGAAATTAATTCGTGATAGAAGAATTTTATGTGATAAGTGGTAAGGACTAGAAAAGCAGTTCCATCTAATACACATATATCCTTCTCCCATTTCTTTTTCTAGTCATTGAAGCCGTCAAATCATGCTACCATCCAGAGCATAGTGAGAGCTGTGGGTGTCGTTCCTGGGATTCCTGAGCCTTGCTGTGTGCCAGAAAAGATGTCCTCACTCAGCATCTTATTCTTTGATGAAAATAAAAATGTGGTGCTTAAAGTATATCCTAACATGACAGTAGAGTCTTGTGCTTGCAGATAACCTTGCAAAGAACTCATTTGAATGCTTAATTCAATCATTATTTTTATGGACTTTTTTTTTTTTTGCACTGCCAATGCATTTTGTCCCAAAAGATTTTTTATAGTCAAAAGAGAATGAGCAATAGACTGAAGATTTCTACCAAGGGGAATTGGACTGTACTCTTTTTTTTCCTCCCTGAATGTAACTGAAAGCAAGATTTTAATAAATATGGATATCTACTTCTTTTTTTAATCAAAAACACTCAAAATTGTCACTCAAACTGTTTTTAGAACCGTTAGAGAGTTATTTTTGTAATGGGCTTTGAAAATAGATCGGGAAAACAGCAATAGTTTATCATTTATCCCTATTTATCTAACAATTAAAGAGGAATTGAAACCTAATTATATATTTGGAAGTAGGCTTATTGTCTTAGATCCTGAGCAACTCAGCAAGTGCTAAATAATCCAGTTGGCTTTGATGTTTATCTTAAAAGTTCTTGAGACTTCTGCTTACCCATGTTTTCCTCCACATATGAATATATGATAATTAAGTGGAGAATGGGCATGGTGTTTTAGATGTACATGCATGTGTGTGCATACACCAGGTACACATATCCTCTGTTGGAAGATATGCTTAACATGGTTTTTAAATTAATTCTGCACAGGATTCATTTTTATTTAGTTCCGTAGGCTGGCAAACACCATTCAATTATGAGAACTTCACCAAAAGTGACAGAGTGATTCAAGAGCCTGTACAGAGAGTTACAAGTTGACCCAGCACTTTAATCGGAAATACAGTTGTTTTCATTTCTCTGCCTCCCAGAAAAATGAACAAGCAGCCCAGTTTTCCAAAACCCAGATGTAATTCTTCCTTCGTACTTCTTTTTTATACAAGTATTTCTATTTGTTCTCTGACACTGAATCCAGAAATCCTTTCTGAAGCCATTAATTTCTCAGTTCTCTTGGTATGACTTGACAGAGGATGTCAAGATTCACAAACTACTGGAATATTGGCAATTTTTTTTAAATGACTAATTTTATCTCAGTCACGTTCTTCAGCCACATCCAGGTCCGTGTGTATTTTCACATGGAACATGGCATTTGGTGTTTTCATGTCATCTAGATTTGTACCCCACCAGAAAATAGAGCCAAATGTAGAGACACCCTTTTGTTGTCCATTTCTGTTTGCATATATATTTCCTGTTATTTTTGAAATGTTTCTGAGAAAAATTATTTGAAAAATATTTCACTCACTGTGCTTATTTTGTGACACAATTGTTTTCAGGCCATGGATTGTTTTTGATGTTCAAGTTGTGGCTAATACAAATCTTAGTTCTGTACCACCTGATGATTAAAGTCAACAAAACCATTTCAGCGGCTGTGAAGATATCAGAAGACATGAGGTTGGCCTGAGGCTATCTTTGGTAGCTCAGTTATTTAACAAATATGTATTGAGCACCTGTTTTGTGAAAGGCACTGTGTTAACTGTGGGGTTAAGGGTGGGGAGATCCCTGTTGTTGTAAAGGTCCTCACTGGAAAAATGAGGAGACTGGCAAATTGATCTATAAGGCTCCCTCAGGCACTGGAAGTTTGGCTTTATAATACCAGTAGTTCATATGTACCTTTCTTGAAGAAGTGGTAGTGATAGATCTGAAAACGCTGCAAGTATCTCTGTTGATAAACCAAATGCAGACATAGCCTACATTTCAGTGACTGGTACAAGAAAATCACATTCACTGTAGTTTAAGTATGCAGCTCTGGTGGTGTAGTGGTTAACGCATTTGGCTGCCATCCAAAAGGTTGGTGGTTTGAACCACCAGCCACTCTGCAGGAGAAAGATGAAGCATTCTGTTTCTGTAAAGATGTATGGCCTTAGAAACCCTATAGGGCAATTTGGCTCTATCTTAAAGTGTCACGATGAGTTGGAATTGACTCAATGACGATGGGTTTTTGGTAGATTAAATGGTATTTCTATATTACTGACAATCCCCCAAAAGAAGATTAACCATGTAAAAAATGATTTGATTCTTTGGAGTACACAAAGGTCAATGTGGATATATGTTAACTCTGTGAATGAAACAAAACTTAGTGAATTATGTCCTGGTGCTTGAGTTTCTGTGGATTCTTGTATTACCTTTTTTCTTGTTTTTTTTTCCTGGTAGAATAAAGTTAAAGAGTCAAAGTGAGGTGAGTGATGAAGTAATTTTTAATAAATCTTATTTTAAAAATTCAAAGAAAAATTATGTAATAGAAGTGGGCCAGAGCATAGTTACTGTATCCCAATCATACCTACTGTCTTTCAGTAAAGCAAACCTCTTTTTCTTTGGTAGGTTTAACGATATTTTAATTCAATTTTTTTTCTAAAGATGTATCAGCCAAGACCTCTAGTAATATTCAGTAGTGAGTCTCAGCCTTTTTTAAACACGGATGCCTGTTTGTTATCCTTCTTAATTTGAATCAATGCTCACTTATTATAGAAATTCTACAATGGTAAAAAAAACAGACTTGTAATTAATAAAAAATGTCCCAGTACCTCTTAATTAATTTATTTTAAGTAACAATTGATATAACAAAATTATACTACAGTACTTGGGTAGTCTCTTAGCAGTTGAAATGATTTGGGGTCCGTGGTTATTTCTGGGTGACCTTGTAACAGTCATTTCTTTACTGCACTGAGGACATATTATGGTATAAATAGGAAAGGTTTTATTCCCAAAGAAAAAATGGGATTGAAGTAAAATCAATTAAGTAAAATTGGAGTAATATTATGATCTAATAAAAATTTATTTTAAATAGTTGTTGAAAAATTGAGTAAATGCATATTTCACAATTTCTTAGGTAATAAGTCTATCATTCCTAGATAGACTTTCTAGACACCTCATGATATTAAACTGACACTTACGAGAAGAGAAACTATATTTATAAATGTCATTCCCTAAGTCATGCATATGTCTCTCTCTCCCCCTTTCCCTCCATCCCCAGATGTGGAAGCCCAGCATACTCAAACATATGACAGTCATATATATATTTTTTTAAAACACTGTTCTCTTGAATTAAAATTCAGGAGCTGCCAATATCAATACACTATTTTAAAGGCATTTTGCTGTACCCTGTGTAAATATATAATTTATAGGATTTGGGGTTATAAAATTTAAACTGGAACATTAGATGCCCCAGATCTCAGGACTGTAATTTCCAGAGAAATATTTACATTCATCTAGCTTTATATTAACTGATGATCATTTATTCATTGAGATACTTTATCTTAAAATTTCTAAATAAAACTCATGTTGGCCATTTAATATTTTCATAGGCAATCATGTGTATCAGTCTGACTTATAAATGTTTCTATATAATTACTCAGTGTAGTCTTTCTATTTTCACTTTTCTCTGTTCTAACAAGTGACTAATGTCTGCACTTTGACTTCATGTTGAATCAAAGTTGCATTAGGGAATAGCTATGAACACCATCTGTGTAAGATGGTCTGACTTCTCTGTATAGGTTTACCCCTCAGAATTGTACTTTGATGTAGTTATAGGTAATTAAATGATCCCTTAAAAAAATGAAAGCCTTCCTTTCAGCTTTCCACTAGTTTCTGTAAATGTTTTAGTTGAGAATTTAATGCTTGTACAGTCAGTGGCAATTTAAATATATATATATATATATATTATATATGTATATGGAAAAACTCTAAAGATACTTTTAATTTATTTAATGACTGTTGCCTTCCTATAATGCTAATAATTTTCATCCTTAGATGATAAGAAACACTTCTTTTTACTATAATTATTAGATGCAAAATGAATTTTGGTTCTTTAATCAAATACACTAAAAGGGCATATCACATTGAAACTGTGAAGGTCACTTCACTACTAATGTATAAGCTTTGCTGATTTTGTATCATTTCCTTCCTGTAATGGAAAACTTTTATTATGTAGTATAAAAATAAAAAAAAAAAAAAAACTGCTTAATGAAACATTTTCCTATTCTTTCTACTCATCATTGTCAAAGACTGCATTTTAAAACATTTAAGTTGTGTTGTGTTTGCAAAGAGTTTATAAAGGTTGGGCATGAATTTGAACATTTTCAAATGATATCACGAATAGAGCTTCATAACCCACCACCAACATAATATGACTAGTACTGTGGAACAATATTGAAATACATCCATACAAGGGTGGGGAGATCCCTGTTGTTGTTAAAGGGCCATTGAGTCAGTTCCAACTCATAGTGACTATGCACAACAGAATGAAACACTGTGCCATCCTCACAGTCCTCACAGTTGTTGTTGTGTTTCAGCCTCCTGTTGCAGCCACTATGTCAGTCCAGCTCCTTGAATATCTCCCTCTTTTTAGGTGACCTTCTAGTTTACCAAGCATGATATCCTTCTCCAGGGATTTGTCCATAACCACCCTCCCCGCCAATAACATGTCCAAAGTGATATGAAGTCTCAGTATTCTCGCTCTTAAGTAGCATTCTGACTATACTTCTTCCAAGACAGATTTGTTTGTTCTTCTGGCAGTGTATGATATGTTTAATATTCTTTGCCAACACCGTAATTCAAAGGCATCAATTGTTAGATCTTCATTATTCATTATATAGCTTTTGCACTCATATCAGGTGATTGAAACTACCACAGATTGGGTCAGACACACCTTAATTCTCAAGATGACATCTTTGCTTTTTAATACATTAAAATGGTCTTTAGCAGCAGATTTGCACAATGAAATACATCATTTGACTTCCTAACTGCTTTTTCCATGGATGTTGATTGTGAATCCAAGTAAAAAGAAGGCCTTGACAAGTTCAATATTTTCATTATCATGATACTGCTTTTTGGTCCAATTGTGAGGATTTCTGTTTTCTTTGTGTTGAGGTGTAATCAATCCATACTCTTTTGTCTTTGATCTTCACCAGTGAGTGCTTCAAGTCCTTTTCACTTTCAATAAGCAAGGCTATATCATCTTCATGTAACAGGTTGTTAATGAGTCTTCCTCCAACCCACATGCCATGCTCTTTTTCATATAGCCCAGTTTTTTGGATTATTTGCTTAGCA